GATCTTGGCTCGATCAAGGAAAGCGCGCTTCGCTCCATGCTACAAGGTCGAGGTAGTCTATTCTTCCTTCTTGCCTCCTGCCTTCTCGGCGGCCGTGATGGCAGCCTTGTCCGTGGCAGGGCCAGGCGCTGCCATGCCTAGAGACAGATGGAGGCAGCCAGCAGAATAAGGGTGAGCACATCAGTCGGCTTGTGCGGCATTGTCTTTCTACAATCCTGGCGGCGGACTCACCGAACATGCCAGGAGGAGCCTTGAAGGGCCTCTTGAGCTCCCCGGTGGCCGGCTGACCCCACAGCCAAATCCTAGCTTCTTTGCTCTCCAGCGCATTCTTGATAGGCAGGATGGATTGGATGACCAGGCTATTCGAAAGGCAAGGCGCAACGTGGGCATGTCGACTCAGCATGGGCAGCATGTAGGATGCGAGGAGAGACCAGATGCGAGCAAGGCTAGCAACTCACGGGTTGGTGTAGCCCATGTACAAGTGCATGAATCCGACCATGATCGTGCCCATCAATACACCACGTGTAGCCTTGCTGCACTCAGAAAGATCGTACTCTCTATGTGTCGTGGTTACCAATTCTCCTGGCTCTTGTGACTGCGTAGGGCAAAGTAGAAGCGCGATCAGTATGATAATTTGAGAAGAGCCGCCTTGCATTTTCATGCTTTGCATGCAGTACCAAAGCACAGATGATCCGCACATCCGACACTCACCATGGGGGACTTTGGATCAACATACTTCAACACTGTAAGATCGTTTGCCTTCTTCACCCGCAGAGAAATGAAGTAGTTGATGAGTACGCAAAAGAGCTGAGCAGCCACGTACGCTGCCCTCGCGTATTGGATGTATTCCGGCTTATCCTGAGATCCCCCAAGAAAATAGCAACGATCAGCTCACTGTACTCGAGATCATGCGCAGCGCACTCCTTGCGCCGCAGACTCTTGATCAATGCACTCGTGTCTCGACTTCGCTTTCGAGCCAAGCGCTCATCCGTCCATCCCCTCTCTATCTCTCCCGCCTCCTCGCACGTCTATCCCCATTTGGCACATCGCCCGACAAGCGCACCACGCTACGACCTCGACATAGCCAGCCTTGCATCGTTGACTGAAGCAGCACTTGCAGCCTTCTTCCAATCACCTTCCCGACCGGAGCTGGCAATAATTTCCGAAAGGTGCCATACACTCACATCAAAAGGAATACGTTTGGCGACCT